TGTATTATGCTGGCTGGCTTCAAAAGTTCTATACAAGAATACTGAGTCATGTTTGTAGATGAGGACTCGGGTGCGATACTAGGATGCTTCCTACCCAGATAAATTTTTTGGTTTGAATTTTAATTATCACAATTTTTGGATTATTATTATCACTCTTATTTGGATTATAGACCTTGTCTTGAATTTCCTGTTGGAAGAACTGTTTACATCAGTCAAATTAGTAATATACACATCTCACAATATATATTAATAATAAACACAGAATATGAATTTTATCATGGGATTTAATGAAGATGTGTAATATTGTTTGCCTCATTATCTTTGTTTGAAATCTTTATTGCTGCATTGTGGTGTAACAAACACCTGCTGTGTATTTTGTGATCTCTGAAGAAGCACAACTTTTGAAGAAAACAGAGATATTCTTATAATGTTACTGAAATTTTTTAATTTGCACAAGGAAAGAGAAATGCAAAATTGTTTCTTCATCAGCTGTTGTAAAATCCTAGCATCTTATCTAAAAGAAAACCCCACACCCAAAACAAAAACCCCCTTGCATTAATCTCGTATTCCATGTAATAAAGCTCAAAACTGCTCTGGACTGAGGACCTGCGGACAGTGTTTGGAACAGCCTGGATGTGGATGGTGTAATGATCCCAGCAACACTGGCAAAGGACAATGTTTGGAAGGATCATCAAGAGGCCCAATGAAGCCTGTTGGCATGCACTCTAATGAAATGGTGCTTGATGCTGGTCTCTGTCCGAAAGAGAAAAATTATGAGTGGTCTTTTATCCAGTGCCCAGGTAAGGTCTGCTTCTATTCTTTCTTATATATGAAATTAAAGATGTTTCTTTGTTTAAGCACACCAAATTAGCATAATTATTTTGAGTAATACAAATAACATTTGCATGACAGATTTGTTTTTCCAAAATATTTCTTTGTTAGTCTCTGTCTACTGAACGCAAATGTTCTCACTGACATGAAGGTTCACATGTGAAATTTAATGCAAATACTTTAACCAAAATTGCCATTTATTTGTAAATAAGTTTTCACCCATCCTATCCTTCTACTTTTTCAAATCCAACTACATGAATTTGCTTCAGCTTTTGCCTTCTTCTGGCTTCTGTATCCATCAAAGAGTGCAGTTGGGGAGAAATTATCAATAGGCAACTGCTGATGGCCAGGAGCAGGCAGTTCTGTGTCCCAGCTGCTCACGCAAAAGTCCAGCTGGCTGTGAGAATGGGGGGCTGCCAAATACGGGTCTACCTCTGAGACATTTTGAGTAAATAAAATGTATGCTTTTGTAATCTTAAAGAGAATCTCTGAAGTCTAAATTTAAGCCATACCAATCTGATTATAGTATTTTTAATTTTTAAGTTCATTGGAAAAATAAGCAAGACATCAGGTGCTTTACGGGATTGGAAGCTGAGCTGGTACAGCCTCCTGTGTGGAAATACTGAAATCCTGAAAGCAGTGCATACAGTTTAAAAGACAGCTTGAAATAATTTTTAGAATAAATGGTGTAAATGTGCTAAAGTTTTATTTTTCCAGCAAGTGTTCCTACTGCTGACAAATTTGGAAGCTGGAGCTTCTCTAGGACTGAAACTTTTATGAGTGTATACAGCTATGTTTGCTTGCTCTCCTGGGTGCTTTTTTCATTAGCATGTTCTCTGTGTGTATGCATATATATATATGCATGCTTATATATATATATTTATATGTATGTATGTGTATCATATATGTATGTGTATATTGTTTAGACAGCAGAATCTCTGAAGAAAGTTTTATTTTGGCAACTTTTTTTTTTAAAATACATAGGTAGAGAGTAGAATTTTTTAAAAAAAGTTTTAGAATAATGAAGTGAACTGTAAAACCAAAAAACACCAAACCATCTCATATTGTTTCCTGATCAAAGAAGCCTCTAGTAAATTCCTGGAAACAATAGAATGACACTACATTGTATGGAAACCTTAGTCTGTATGTTAAAATACAGGTATGTTGACAAGAAGTGCATTGTTAGACTTTCACTGCAATGCGTAGTATCTAGCACTGGAGATATGTATTGCTTGCCAAAACTGTTTGAGTTGGAAGATTTCATCACCTTATTGTTTAATATTTATTCTTCATGGATAAAATTCTGTATTCATGGTATGTTCTGACCAAGAATTCACTGAAGTTCCACTTTAGTTTAAAAACCCACTAGTTTTATGAGTGTAAGAGGCAAATCCTACAGAAGTCATAGAACTAAAATTTCAATTGATGTGAAATTTCTTTTTGATTGGTATAAGCTGTAGGTTTTATTCCTTTTATTTTGGCTTTTGTTTTCATTTTCTTAAAATATTATCTGTAATGGATTATACTAACACAGTTTATTCATAGCGCAGCAATCATTGATGTACTCGAAATAAGATAGAATTGATACTGAATGTTTATAAACTTACTGAACAGTTTGGGTGAAAATAAAACCAAATAGGTTATAACATGTGCCTTGAAGATTGTTCTGCCACATTGATGAATAGTTAGTTCAACCATTCATGTTCATTCACGTATGCACTTAGTTTTCCTTGTAGTTCATATCCATGCTTTTTATAGTGACTCTGGGCAATTGCGTTGTTAAGTATTTAAAACACATTCTCATTTTCTGTTTGTTGAAATTTTTAAAACTAGTATTGAACAAGTAGCATAAAAAATGGTTTCTTTTTGTTACTGGTCATTTTGAAATCAATATTGTGCAAAGCAGCTGTCATAATATTTCTTTTGATATCATTACATGTTTACTTTTCTAATCAGGTTTGTATTTTACCAGAACTATTATTATAAATAAAATTGCAAATATCATATAACAAAAAAAAAAAAGAAAAAGAAAAACAGATAGTGCTGGGTTTTCCTCTCATGAGAAGAGCAGTTTAGGAGGAATACAAGTCCAAGTTTGTCTTTAAAGCCTAAATTTCTCCTCTGAAAAGTAGTGTGAATTGATTCTAATTAGATTGTTTAAAGCTTGTTGAAGTATCTTTAGACTAGATCCAGATTGTAATGCAGACATGCTTTTTATATATTTTTTCCTAGTATTAAGTTTTTCTTAAAACTATAATTATCAACATTTGTCAGCATCACCAACCATTTCAACGCAGAGGTCAAAAGCAAATTAGCCATATTAATTGCTTATCTGTGGGGCAGCCTAACTGAAGATTCAGCTAAATCACATTTGGATATGTGAGGAAAATTGTTCTGTTGCTGCCAGTGATGTACATTAAAATCTCTTAAGGAAAAAAATCACTTTAAAAAATTCAATTCCTAGTTTTTATTTAAATGATTGTTACAGCATCTATTTATTTTAATTATTTAATACTGATGTCTCAGGTTTGATTGCAGAAAGTTGTTGAATTGTGCAGTTGTTCTGGATTTTCACTTTTCTCAGAGATACATATTTTTAGGAAAATGAGCAAATATATAATTTTTAAATGGTGTGCCATGCTAATTGTAGATTGTATTGGCTCTTATTGTATATATATTTTTTGAATTTGATTTAAAATCTCTTCCATTTTCTTTGCTTTAACAAAATATGAGAATTAAGAGTTACATCTGTGACCAGATAATATTATGACTTGCAGTAAACTAAAACTCACAATTAAAAAATTGTTTAAGATTGCTTTCACTTATCTTTTAACTAACACCAAAATTAAGAAATACAGAACTAAGCATTAGAAAGATTAGAAAATGTATGAATCAATGACCTACTAGTTAGAGAATATCAGAATGAAACTTTGTCCCTACATTATGATACAGTCTTAATTAAGCAATCTTACTTTACTTTAATAGAACACTTATTTAATGTGTTATATATTTTTACTTTTGGTTTATTGGGCTGCGTTTTTTTTTAACATTTGCCTGAAGTCATTCAATGTCTAAGACATACACACAAAACCCAAAATGGAGCTGCAATTCATGCTATTTTCCTGTAGCTTTTTCTGAGAAAGGCAACAACAGCGCAGGATGGCAAACTGCTTGGAGGAAGACACCACAAAGTTGTCTAAAAATCGAGTACTCTTAGGAAGAAGAAAACTTGTATTTTCTAAGGAGATTTATTCAAGACAGTGAGAAAACTTCTTGTCTAGTAGTACAGAAATGTTTGATGCTTGTTTACAAGATTCTGTAGCCATAGCTACAGAAAAAGGAAGAGGTTGTAAACTTGGGAGGTTTAATGGTTTATGCGCCAAGCTGGCCTGGCAATGACTGTAAATTTATTAAGTTACTAAATTCTAAAACAGCTCTAAAAACTTTTAAGTCATGCAGGGAGAATCTCTCTCTTTTTTTTTTTTTTTATTTTTATTCCTAGCTGAGACACCAGTCACTGTGACATTTAGATTAAGAATCCAAATAAATAAATAAAAACTTAAACAGAGTGATGTTACTGAGATAGCTGTTCTCTGCTGAGTCTTACTCACTGACAGACAGGTTTGACATAGTCTGACATTTGACATGCTGCTGTAATTGGCAGATCGCTAATCTGCTGCGCACTGTGAGCTCTAAGGTCCCGCTCTCCAGAGAGGTCATCCTTCAAAACCTCTCGGTCGTTCAGCTGAATCCTGGCAGCAGGATCGACGGTTCTGGCAGCGTTCGCATTGTGATTTTGCTGCAGTAGTGATCAGTACTTTCCAAGTTTCTCCCAAGCACGGAGCACTGCAGAGGAGGTGTGGTACAAGATCAGTGTTTTGGAATTTTGTTGTTTGACAAAAACAAATTTTATGCTTTTAAGTTCAGATATAAAAAAAATATGTTAATGGTGTCCAGATTTTTACTTTCACCAAAGTCAGCTATAGTGAGGGGGGACTGGAGATTTTTGGGGATCAGAACTGTTAAAAATAAGACCGTCTTTGGTTAATTTTTTTGTAAGTTCTCTCTCCCCAGTAGAAACAAGTTGGAGTGTGTTGTTCGTGCTCTCCGTCACAGTAGCCTTTCAAATGCTTCACAGCAGACTGCATGTAGGTATGGAGGCTGGTCTCAGTTGGTGATTTACTGCCTCTTGACAGGTTTCTTAAGTAATTGGGCAGCATTTTAAACCTATGAGGGCTGAATTCAGTCACAATGGCAAAAAGACTTTCTCACACACCTTAAGCTCACGTCACTACACAGTCAACTTCTGTGGTCTTTTGTGTGAATTCATGTCTTGTCACAATGCTGTTCTAAAGAGGTTCTGTGTCAAAGTACAAATACATATCCTGGTCATTAGTCAGGATTAAACTTCTCTGAATTACATTCTACTGCAATTTTGTAATCATGTAAGAGTGATTTTGTTCCCAAGAGCAATTTAGTAATGGCTTTTAAAATGTTATATTCTAGCTTGCCAGTGTAATGGCCACAGCACCTGCATCAACAGTAATGTCTGTGATCAATGTAAAAACTTAACAACAGGAAAACAATGTGAAACGTGCATGCCAGGATATTATGGAGATCCCACAAATGGAGGACAGTGTACAGGTAAGTCGTTCTGCTGGGCAGAAAAAAATATTGAAATTATGTTTTTATGCAATATGAAATTAACTTTTCTTTAAAGGGTAAATGTTTATTCAGTAATACAGGTGAATTGATCATCTAAATTAATGACTCAAAATCAGAGTAATATTTTTAAGAGAAACTTTGCATTCAGAATCATCATTTTGCAGTTGTTGTTTGATCTGGATGCTCCCAGAACAAGATGGTAATTTAAAGATGCTCTCCCAGTTAGGGCAAGGAGGAGAAAAAAAACTGTCTTGTGGGAGCAACACTTTAGATCCTGATATTTCAGAGAGTCATTGTCTCATTCCATGTAAACAATCCTCCTAAAAGCGGTGAGAAAATACTTATGAATGAAGTTCAGTATCTACCATAATATCTGATAGCACTGATTTGTATAAATGTGTGATGCTAGTGGAAAAATTATGCATTTAACAGACCAACAAGTCTTATTCATGTGTAGTTCAAATAGCAAAGCCTGGTACACTGTGGATGGTAAGGTACCCTAATCTATTCAATCTCCTTAGTTTTGTAATTGCTGCATTGGAGGATTCTTGTTCAAGTGAAAGAGGATGAAGTCCAATACTCCAGATGGCTTTTGTATATTGGCGTAGGGCTGCTTTTTTAGCTGCATGGGTGATTTTAAAGGTGACAGTAACTCCTTCCCTTAAAACTAAATGGGGGAGGGGGTGATATATTCAATACAAAAACTCATTAAGGTAGTTGAGATTGAATCTAGGAGGGTGCTAGAAAATTTTGTCCCATGACTTTTTCTTCTGTATTATTTGTGTTTCTTTAACTGGACCTTTACTACACAAGGAATATTTATTCATTCAAAGGGTTCATTTGTTCTTCAGCACTTTAACATGCAGTAGTCAATGCATACAGCTGCACATCTGGTAAACTCAAGCACAATATGTAGAAAGTGTGTTCAAGGGGATGGAAAGATTAATGTCTACTCCTATTGACAATTGCACATTTTGCTGGTGCTTTACGACGCTTTAAATAATTCTTAATAGTTCTCTTATTTCCTGAAGTTGACAAAATGTTCTTTTGCTGTCTATAGCACCTTTATGGCAAAATGATGCATTAATATAGCTTTCATTCTTCAGGGATACATTAGCTATCAACCCAATAAGCATTCCATCACCTTTCGTGAATTATGTGTAGTGCAATAATGGCTAAAATCAATTTATAAGACCAGTAAAATTATAAATTTTACGACTTGTTTTTTTAACCCTAGTCTGTAAGAGTACATATTTTTATAGATAGACATGATTTTAACAGGAGCTATTTAGACTAAAGAATGATTTAAAAATAAATACGATAATTATTTTGAGGATTTATTTGCATCAGTATGTTGTATTTTGTAGTATAGAGCCCATAAATCTGTTTAAGTCTTTGAGACATTTTGATAAATGTAGTCATTATGAACTGTTAGATTTTCTTCAGTATCATGATTTTCGTTCCTGTGATAGAGGTGCCCAAATTGTGAGCCAGGGATTTCTGCAGGAAAAAATATTGTGATCCATAGATAAGTCAAATAAATTTTACCTGGATTTAAGATGATTTTGAAACCATAGTTGAGATCAGGCAGTGTGCAAATAGAACCATCTCCTTCTTACTTTATATTTTTTTAAATTTTTTTTATTTTCCTTCTTTCTGGTAATGCTTTTGGTAACACAGAAAAAATATTCAAATATAGCTGCAAATTAAAACCATAACTAAAGTAAAAGCACCAGAAAAAAATATGAGAGGAAGAAAGGGCAACTTGGTCAAAAGCTGAACTTCAGTGTGACTGAAATAATTAGCAAATGAGGCAGGAAATGGTATGGAATAGCCAATCAAAGAAAAAAAGTCATGAAGAACTGAAAAAACAGTTGTCCTCATAGTCCAATCTTGCGACACTTTGCTGCAGCCAGCTGAGTTTCTGGCTGGACGCTACCAACGTTTCTTTTCTACTAAGACTCATCCTTCTGTACGAGGGTTGAGACTACCTGAGCATGTGGTGTGTTTTTTCCTCAGAGCTCCCAAGTTATTTGAGGATCCAGATTGAAAACTTTTTTTAAAGGAATGACAAGATAATGACTATAACTCTTAAAGTGCATCTGTAATACTATAATATTCATATAACAAGTTGCTATAGTTACAAGAGTGTAACTTGGTTATGAATCGAAGAGCAGTTGAAGCTGGGAAAGGAGGTTGTACTCAGTCTCTACAGTTGAGAGACAAAGTGGTGTACACTGGGAGAACAACTAAGAATTATTCTCCTAACATACTCATGACATATGACATAAAATAATTTTTTTTCCTGCTTTCCTGACAAAAGTACTTATGTATTCAGTACATGTATTCTTCTGCTGTGATATATGTACTTAGAGGTAAAATCTGACCTCTCAACTTAGTTTGACTATACATGATAGAGATTAAAAAGATCTGCAAGAAAAACTTCCTTTTATAGGCTGGATTAGCCTTTGTTGTTCCTTGGATCCCTGATGATCTTGAAAGGAAGGAGAAGGAGATGCATAGCAAGCCTTTTAGTCCTTTTTTTTTTTTCTTTTTTTCCCCCTTCCCCGTAACTATGCCAATCCTGTCCTAAACCCTTTCTGTTTATACTTCTAGGAGGTATTCAAAAAGCTCTAAAAGAAGGTGACTGTCCACCCCTGAGCGATCAATTCTGTTCTGACCTTTGTCCAGGGATGGAAAACTCTGTACAAATATAACTATTTTCCTTATTCTACTCTGGGAATAATGATGCCTTTAGAACTGTCATCAGATAACTGATACATTCATAGTGGTATTGCATAGTGTTATGCTATCAAATTACTATGAAATGAGTAACAGCTGTTATAGGAAAAAGATATAATTCATGTTTCAGAAGGTTTTGAATAGTTGTGATTAAAGAATGGATAAAAAAAATTGACTTTTCTGGGTTTTCGCTCACTATAATTGCTGACATTTCAATAGCTTTAAAACAAATCTAAGGACTCACTTTGCATCCTGATATGCTGGCTTAGTAGATGTGACAAACCTAAAAAGGACAAAGAAAAGATGGAGGCATAATAACAGGCTTCAAGCATGTGAGAGGAAGCTGAAAAGAGAGAATGATGATAAAGTGCCCTCCCCCATGCCCCTACTTTGGTTGAGGAAGAAGTAATGGGATTAGGTTGCAACAGGAAAGATTATGGTAGAATACAAGGAAAACTTTCTACTGATTAAACTGTAAAATACATTGCCTAAAGATGTTACGGAATCTGCATTATCACCTACGCTATATTTTTAAAATTTTCTAACTTGTCTAGCTTTGGAAAAGGGCAGTGGACTAGCAGATTCCACATTTTCTTTTCCAGTCCTAATTTTCAAAAGATTCTTGGAGTCTGAGATCTAGAATGCAGGGAGGTATTGATTAAACATGAAGTATTCCGATTATAAAAGAAAATGATCTATGTATAGCAAAATGACTGTGGATATTGGCCATACTATGAGTGCTTAATAAAGATATTCCTAAGTCTTACATATTACTTATTTTAGAAACTGTAGCATTCTTGTTATTGTGGTGTTAAAAAGCTTTCCATCTAGTGCAGGTTCATTCTGTAATTGGCCCTCACTCTAGTTTATTTTTGTGTCAGAAGTGTGGTATGTTGGTTGTTGATGGGCAATAGTTGTTCGTATTTTTTATACTTAATTAATCTACTTTTTCTTCTTAAAAAACCATGCCTATTAACAATTATTCATTTAACTTTTGTCATTTGAAGTCTTTCTTCTATACAGAGAAAGTTAGAGTTTGTATTCTTGGTGTACACATGATTTTTATATTCAGTAGTCATAACATGCAGCTTGCAGTAAAGATGTATGTAGTCCTTCAATTCTTTATGATATTTCTTTATGCAAATATCTAGCTTGGATTATTTTTATATTTGGTTCATTGCTGTATTCTATTAAAAAATCAGTAATAAATAGCGAAAGCCTTTTATTTTACATTAAAAAAATTCTGTAACTGTAATTTATTACAGTTATCTGTTCTTATACTAATTAAAAACCATTTCAGGTAGTTATGATGTCTGTGATGTGAAACAGGTAGCCAAAATATAAAATGAAATTAATTTCTTACCTTACATTGTGATATATTTTTAGTTACACAAAAAGATTTGCATTCTTTGTTGGAAATAAATGATACACAGTGCACAAATTAGTAAGTCCAGACCCTGTGTGCATGCATAAGATTTGTAAGCTAAAGACCCTGTATGGCAAAGAAAAGTTTAAAGCAATAGTACCATCAAAGTTACCAGATAAAGTTACAGCATCCTCTTAAAGAGTTGGCTCAACGTGCAAGAAAATAAGAGTGAATTCTGAACATGGACTAGAGCAAGGGACAGGTTTGGGGTTCCAGACCAAGCTGCAGTTCTGTTTATCCCTTTTATCTGACTGGTCTTGAGTGCAAATGCATGAGCAGCCCTTGGAGTGCTAAAGGCAGTGCTGTCAGTCTGTGCCAGAAATATTTAAGGAATTAAATCCTCTAGTTGTTTTACAGAATAAGGCACACTCTCTGCATTGTGGTGAAGCTTGGGTGAGAGGTGCACAGCTCAGCCTTGTTTGCCTCTGAGGAGGTAAAGCTATCCAGATGTAGGAAACCTAGGAAGCCTTGTAGTCTGAGATGGTGAAGAGTTGGAGGACAGATATTCCAAATCACTTTGATAAATTTATTAAAAATTCTACTCAAGTCCCATTTGAGGTACAGTTTTGAAGGCATGAATATCAAAATTCAGTAATAGCAAATTAATCATTAAATATTGATGGATTTTGGAAATAAAACAGCTCTGTAGATGGGAACAGATACTGTCTTGATGTTTTAGTGGTTTCTCTAAGTGTTATTTTCTTCAAGGTCTTGCTCTGTCGTGTACTGCATGTCTGGGAAATATGCAATGTTTTTATAGAAATTCTAGAAAAAATGGAGTTATATGTATACTACAGACTGCAGTGTAAAG